TTTTTTTTTGGCTCATCTATGGCAAGAACCCATCCTCAGTTATCAATACTTTGAAATCCCTATGACACATTAATTTAGTTACCAATACAGTCACCAAGCCCTTTCTATGAAATTTTTGAGCACAGTATACTCAGATTTCTGCTCCCACTCAAAGCTCAAGCCAGGTCAGCGAAAAAAGAACAGTACTTGCTGATTATGGAACGAGTGCAGCACAACTGGACCACGTCCGATGTTGACGGGACAGCTTTCGTCCCATAATCAAGTTGTCCTGTCCAACTAACAATAAAAAAACAGTATACAAAACGTAGTACAGTGGTGCCTTTTACCACATAATGTCCGTTTTCATGTGTTACAGCGAATCCCACGACTCGATTCATTGATTGTCGCCAGAGCAGTCCAATCAAATCTGTGAGCTATGTCAATAGTTATTTAAGCGATATTCCCCTTACCTGGTGCAGACTTGATTGGGAACCGCAAATATCTTATCAGACAGGCATAATTCCATATGATTTTATCGCGCAACGTTTCATACAATAGAGGTCTTTAGCAGAACTGTGCAATCCAGAAAATACTGTTTACCATGTGGAATTTCTGCCTAACCTCGCTGATGAAGCGACAAGTTTGAATAGGTAGGTGGCTTCGAATCCACCACTTCGAAAGGAAATTCGTGTTGTATCATATGCTAAGTTCTTTACTTAAATCGTACTGAAAGCAGCGGTAAAGCTGATGTGGAATAGAAAGTTGGGTAGCGTCCTCACGCACGATCTCTATTTCTGCTAGGCACTTATAGAAGCTCGCTGTCCCCATCCCAACTCGACAAAGAATCCCCACAATGTCGCCAAGCCAAGAAGACGGTAACGATTTGCTCTTAGTTGTGCGGCAACTAACATGAAGAGTGCGCCACCACAAGGCTGTGTTTTTGTTTCGGTTCTGGAGGCAAGCAATGGACGAAGGAAACGCCGTTATTTCGGCAGCACTTTTCTCGTTTTTTAGCGACTGAACTCCCAGTGGAGGAAGCACGTCGCGCACCGTACAACTTTAACGCTCTTTCTAACGACCAGTGCGTCGACTGATTTCGGTTTACAAAGGTGCAGATCGTGGAACTTGTGACGATCTTTGGATTAGAAGGCATTCGGACTCGAGAAAGGACTGCTGTAACTGGAGCTGAGGGCCTGTGTATCCTTTTGTACAAACTTGCTGTGCCAGTTCGCTGGGTGGATCTTGAAGAAGCTTTCGGTAGAGATTCAAGTGGTCTATCAAATATGTTTTTGCACATGCTGACACTTTTGGACGACAAGTACGCAAAACTTCTTTATTTCAACAAATCGTACGTGGTTCAGAATCTGCAAGCATACGCATACGCTGTGTATTTCAGGAAACGCTAGCTTGGGGGAGGGCGCGCGAAACGAGAAGTGCCACACCCACAGTTCAGGCGGATGGAACCTTCTAGAAGGTTCCACGGCCACCCTACATCTGCCTTTCTGTATTGCATATTGAATCTAAGTTAAACTGAGCCTGCCTTTGATTGGCTACAATTCTACACCTATCTTATCTGATACACTCAACCTCCCTCTGGCGTGCGCGTCCCGTCAGTTTTGCCATTCCCGAAATTGCGCTGTAGGCCAGAGGTGCCGTTCCCCGTCGGATTAGTCCGACCCCGAGTTACCCACGCCTGCCTTGTGCGGGCCTGTTTACTTGGGGCTTGGATAGGTCCATCTGGGAGGATGGCTGTGCCTCCTGCGTCTGCTGCTGCTGCTAGCCCGGCTTCCACCGCTCCCTCGCCTCGCTCGCCGACCTTACGGCCTCTGGTGCTTCCAAGCGACTCTTTGGTGGCACCACCGACCGGTATGGCTTCGCCCGCTTCGTCTGATGGGGCCCCGACAGTGACTTTGGTTCCCGTGCTTATGCTCGTTCTCGCGTTCGTTCGTCGACGCCGCCTGCTCCTACTGAAGTCCCTGCTGTTCCGGCTGCCATGGTCGATGCTC